GTTTCACAAATCAGGGAAAGGTGTCACAAACCCCACACTTTTAAGCAGCTACTTTATACAAGTCAGTGTAGGTTCTGGTCAGAGCGGGTCAGTTCAGGTGCAAACAACACCGGGTCATGTGACTGGAACCAAGCAGCTGGAGTGGGCGGGTCTACGATTGTTGTTCATGAGTCCGACAGCAGAGGGGAAGAAGCGGTTCTTGTGGTGAGAGGTTGTGGTCTGACTGAGAGCCTCCTGCCAGACGGACTCCGTGAGGCTCTGTAATGCTGCTGCTTTGGGCCCTGGCAGGATGGGCTGGGGTCTCCATGCCCTGGGTGGCATTTTGACAACAGAGGTGCCTATTGGGGCCAGTAGGGGAGCTGGCTCCTTGGAGGGCTAAGCCCAACCAGCCATTCTTCCCCATCCCCGCATATTTCTCTCCTCCTGCTCCCTCACATCATCACACAAACATACACATAGGACCTTGGGGGATGGATCTAGGGAGTGCAGGTATGGACCCCATTTCCACATTCCTGTGGCAACCTGCCCCCCAATTTTATTTGCACCTTATACACTTCCACTGACGACATTCCACACAAACACACACTTAGGGCCTTGGGAGTGAGCACATTCAACGGCATTTGGCAGGGGGATATCTCAGCCTCCTCCCGGGTGCCGGTGCCCACTTCCAATTTTAAACTGCACTTAGACACTGATGGCTGAGGGTGTAAGTGGGGTGGTGCGGTGGTATCAGCTGGCATATGCTGGATGATGCCCGCACTGCCCACTCACCACAGCCATGGAATACACCTCATGAACACACAACACTATATTGGAGCAGGTGGAGGGAGACTAGGGGTCTTAGCCACCTCTGTTGTTGCTAGGCTTCCTGGGGCTGGAGGCTAGGAGGGAGATCTGGCCGTCTGGCTGGGGTCTGGGGTGGTGGGTTGCTGTGCTCAGCGTTGGGCGGGGGAGCCTGCTCATCAGCACCCCTGCAGAAAGGGTCAAACTCTGGTTACCGGTGATGGTTGTACCCCATGTGCAGCAGTACCGGGACCAGAGTGAATAGGGTGTGTATGGGGAGCATGAGTGGGTGTCCGGCGTGCATTTTTGTAAGTCTTGGGTTGTATGTGCATGTGTGAGCATGAGGGAGGGAGTGTGTGACTGTGTTTGTGTATGACTGTATATGTCAGGTGGGGCCTTTGGGTCCTCCCCTCTCCTGGAACTTCTCTTGATGATATAGATCTCTGTCCCCCCTCCCCCTGCCACACTTGGTGTGGGGGCTTGTGCCTTGGTCTGCCTGAGTGTTCGTGGCAACCGGGTCTGGGGGTTTAAGATTTTGGCATCTGCCTGTTAGATCCCGGTGGCTGCCTGGTGGGGTCTGGGTCCCTGGGCTCTGCTGGGTCCCCGGCGGGGGTGGTCGCCCCTGGGTCCCGGGTCGCTGGGTCCCGGGCTCGGCCGGCTAGGAGGTGGGAGGCTGCGGGCGGGCCTGTGGGCTTGACGCTGATGTCTCCCGGGACTCTGCCGGCTGCTGGTTGTGGCCCCCTGGGGCGATCCTCTGTGCCTCTCGAGGGGGGCGGGGGCCTTCCTGGTTGCAGTCTCCTTGGGGTTCCTGCGTTCTGGGGCAGCGCCTGGATCTCTGGGACTTGGAGCTCCCCCCGTCTCCTGCGCATCTTTGGGGGGCGGATCTGTGGTCCCTCACACTCTCTGTTGGGCGCTCCTATAGAGAGACCTTACATAAACAAGCGCGTGTACACACACGGGTGCTCACATGGTGCTCTCAAAAGTATGGGCTTGGGCACGTTCAACACATGTCTTAAGACTCTGGGGGGCACTTAATGTGTTGTGATTTATTATCGTGATTCTTCAGTTAAGCAATGTTGATTATATATATATATATATATTTATTCTTTTCATCAAGTTGACACAGTGATAGCTAGATCTTGTTGTATTGTTGTTGTGTCCCTTTTTTTGTGTCCCTTTGTTGTTTTTTTGTCTTTTTTTCTGCAGGTCTAGAAGCAGACTCTTGTTCATTTTTGTTTATTTTTGTGGAACACCTCCCCCCCTCCCCCACCACCACCTTTTCTTTTCCTTTCTCTTTCACCTCTGTCTCCGTGTCTGGTCGGAATTACAAAGCATTCAACAACAATAACAATAAAGTTTTAAGTATCAGGCGTGACATTAAAAGCAAACGCTTTGATGCTCCACCTGAGAATACATCTGTAAGGCTTGTCACCAGCATTCAGACATCAATTCTGCTTGCTTCACAGCCAGACAGGACACGGTAAAAAAAAAAAAAAAAAAAAAAAAACAATGGAGGAGCGGAGAAACTGTTGTGGAGGCGTATTTTCAAGATGGTCGGACTATCCGTGCTCGTCGTGCTACTATGGGGCATGTGCAGACCGATTATTTAAAGCCTTGTTGAAGTTTCACAAATCAGGCAAAGGTGTCACAAATCCCACACTGTGTTTTATTTGATCTGCTGTTATAGTAGAATAATCTAGAACAGGGCTGAACAGTGTGGCTGTTGTAGTTTTTGAGCTAGAGCAGATTGAAGATGGTCAGAGTAGAGAAAAATTGGGTGTATTGGCCCTTTAGCCGTTTCCCGAATCGGAAGTTGGAATCTGAAGCTAACTTCAGCCTCGATAATAATATAGAGAAACAGTCATTTTAAGCAGCTACTTTATACAAGTCAGTGTAGGTTCTGGTCAGAGCGGGTCAGTTCAGGTGCAAACAACACCGGGTCATGTGACTGGAACCAAGCAGCTGGAGTGGGCGGGTCTACGATTGTTGTTCATGAGTCCGACAGCAGAGGGGAAGAAGCGGTTCTTGTGGTGAGAGGTTCTGGTCCGACTGTACCTGAGCCTCCTGCCAGATGGGAGCGAGTTGAGGAGACTGTGTCCAGGGTGAGACGGGTCAGCTCTGATCCGACCTGCATGCCTCAGTGACCTGGAGGTGTACAGGTCCTGTATGGAGGGGAGTTAGCAGCCAGTGACCTTCTCAGCAGAGCGTGCAACACGCTGTAGTCCATTCTTACCCCTGATGGTGGCTCTGGCGTACTGTCCTGTCTTTAATCCATCATGAACACCGACTACAGCAAAACCCTGTGATGCATCCATGCTGCTCAGCACCAGACCTGCACTGATGTCACTAGGTAGCCTGACCTGCCAGACTCGTCCTCTAGTCTACACAGAGAACTAGTCTGGTTACTCACAGGCACAGAAGCACATGAGGGGCGGGACTAGTCAGCTCGAAAATAACCAATCAGAAAACGGCGGAAATGCCGACTGTACCGCGTTAAGCTGTAGTTTTTAACTGTAGTCAAAGATGGCGTCTGGCGACGATGCAAACACCTCTCACAGGGGTGCCCAATCCTGGTCCTGGAGGGCTGGTATCCAGCAGGTTTTGTGGTTTTTCTGCTCCAACAGACTTGATTCAGTGGTTGAAACACGTGTGCAGCAGCTCATCAGGCTCTGCAGAAGCCTGTTAACTAGCTGCTGATTGAAATCCGGTGTGTTGAAACAGAGTTCAAACTAAAACATGCAGGAAACCGGCCCTCCAGGACCAGGATTGGGCACACCTGCTTTAGAAGAAAGGCTTTCTGCTTCTTCTTGTTGTGGTTTAGGCACTGACGTGCTTCTCTGTTATTCATTAAATAAGCTGCAGATCGCAAACGGACACAGCTGTTATTACCCACAGGAAATGAAGGCTGAAGGTATTTTTGCATCATCACTCTGGCGCCCGTCCAGCCTGACAGCCCTCCTGCCTGCCAGCCCTCCAGCCTAGCGCCCCTCCATCCTGCCAGCCCTCCAGCCTAGCGCCCCTCCAGCCTGGCACCCCTCCAGCCTGGCGCCCCTCCAGCCTGGCACCCCTCCAGCCTGGCGCCCCTCCAGCCTGACAGCCCTCCTGCCTGCCAGCCCTCCAGCCTAGTGCCCCTCCAGCCTGGCGCCCCTCCAGCCTGACAGCCCTCCTGCCTGCCAGCCCTCCAGCCTAGCGCCCCTCCATCCTGCCAGCCCTCCAGCCTAGCGCCCCTCCAGCCTGGCACCCCTCCAGCCTGGCGCCCCTCCAGCCTGGCACCCCTCCAGCCTGGCGCCCCTCCAGCCTGACAGCCCTCCTGCCTGCCAGCCCTCCAGCCTAGTGCCCCTCCAGCCTGGCGCCCCTCCAGCCTGACAGCCCTCCTGCCTGCCAGCCCTCCAGCCTAGCGCCCCTCCATCCTGCCAGCCCACCAGCCTAGCGCCCCTCCAGCCTGGCACCCCTCCAGTCTGGTGCCCCTCCAGACTTATGCCCCTCCAGCCTGCCAGCCCTCCAGCCTAGCGCCCCTCCAGCCTAGTGCCCCTCCAGCCTGGTGCCCCTCCAGCCTGGCGCCCCTCCAGCCTAGCGCCCCTCCAGCCTGGCGCCCCACCTGCCTGGCAACCCTTCAACCTGCCAGCCCTCCAGCCTAGCGCCCCTCCAGCCTGGCGCCCCTCCAGCCTGGCGCCCCTCCAGCCTAGCGCCCCTCCAGCCTAGCGCTCCTCCGGCCTGGCGCCCCTCCAGCCTAGCGCCCCTCCAGCCTGCCAGCCCTCCAGCCTAGCGCCCCTCCAGCCTAGCGCCCCTCCAGCCTGGCACCCCTCCAGCCTAGCGCCCCTCCAGCCTGGTGCCCCTCCAGCCTGCCAGCCCTCCAGCCTAGCGCCCCTCCAGTCTGGTGCCCCTCCAGCCTGACGCCCCTCCAGCCTGGTGCCCCTCAGGAAACCTGGGTTTAGAGGTGGCAAGCACATGAAGAGGTGGAGGAGAATGAGACAAATTTGTCTGTTGAAAAGTCTCTTATATACAAAAAAACGCAGTATAAATACAGAACAGCGCAACGCCCTCTGCTGTCCTGCCGGGGAATTGCTTTGCAACACTCCCCAGGAGACGGAGAAGTATGAGAGCAAAACATCTCCGTCTGTGCGTGTCTTTCCCTGTTGGAGCTGATGGAGAAGCATGAATTAGGCTTAAGGGAGGAGCAGGCGCTGTTTGGGTCAGCCTCTCCACACCCTACGCTCTGAGTTTGCGCTCATGCCCCCAGGGCATCGTTTTATGTATCCTTTAAGCCTGCCGCACACGAGAGCAATCGGCTGAGCTAACGGTCATTCGAGGCTGATTGCTCTCATGTGCGGGAGGCTTTAGGAAAACAAATTGCTGCTCGAACTCTTTAGTCCCTTCTGTTATTAAACTGTTACATCTGGAAGGAGGTGTCTAAGGAACATGGACCCAGGGTGGTGGATATTCAGCACTAGAGCCTCTACGTCTGTTGTAGTGCTGCTAGTCATACACATGATTGACTGTTTGTACAATGTTGTTTTCGTGGTATGCTACAAACGAAAAGTTTCCCGAATCTGAATCATTTTAACATCGCAGGCTGTTAGAAGCTCCTCTTTGGCTGATCAGAACCAAAGCGTTGGATCTTTAATCTCCTGCGTTGTTCTGAAGCAGCATCTTAATCAGCTCTCCTGCTTTGTTTCTATTGCAGCTGTTAGCTAAACACGGCTAAAGAAAACCTGCTACCACTTCAGGATCATCCATCAGCTGGGACTGCTTCATCAGCATGGACACAGGTACTGGTGTGTGTGTGTGTGTGTGTGTGTGTGTGTGTGTGTGTGTGTGTGTGTGTGTGTGTGTGTGTGTGTGTGTGTGTGTGTGTGTGTGTGTGTGTGTGTGTGTGTGTGTGTGTGTGTGTGTGTGTGTGTGTGTGTGTGTGTGTGTGTGTGTGTGTGTGTGTGTGTGTGTGTGTCTTTGTCTGTCTGCTCTGTCTTCTCCATCCCCAGTGAGTCGTGGAGGATGGCTGCTTATACTCAGCCAGGATCCCCTGGAGGATTCTTCCTGTTAAAAGGGAGTTTTCCTCTCCACTGTCGCCACATGCTTGCTTAGTATGAGGATTGCTGTAAAGACTCTGACACTAGTCAGTGACTCGATGTGACCTGCTGGGTTCCTTATACAAGAAACTTGTTACTGATCGGCTTAATGACCTGACCTGTATTGGAATGTTTACTGTGTGAAGGTCCTTGAGACGACTCTGGTCCTGATTTTGCGCTTTATAAATAAACTGAACTGAATTCAAAGGTACAGTCAGTAATTTACACAAAGTGTTTCTGTGTTTCCTGCAGATGTTCAGCAGCTGGTGCTGGTTAAAGAAGAAGCTCCTGGTGAGGACCAGCAGGACCCAGAACACCTCCACATAAAGGAGGAACAGGAGGAACTCTGGACCAGTCTGGAGGGAGAGCAGCTCCATCTGAAGGAGGAGACTGATGCTGCCAGGTTTCCAGTCACTGTAGTTACTATAAAGAGTGAGGATGATGAAGAGAAACCTCTGATCTCACAGCTTCATCAGCAGCAACTAGAAGACAGAGATGTTCCAGCCTGCAGCTCAGCTGGTGGAGGAGCAGAAACTAGCAGGAACCCAGGTCTGAACCCTCATGAACAGACATCTGATTCTTCAGAGACTGAAGTTAGTGGAGATGATAAAGAGGATGATGATGTGAATCTAGACTCTGAGCTGTCAGACTCTGGGTCAGAAACGGGAGACGTTGACTGGAATGAAAGCAGGTCTTCTGAGTCAGATGTTAAGGCTGTCAACACATCCTTTAGCTGCCTTGAGTGTGGTAAACAGTTTCTCCACAAGCGGTCTCTCCAGAGACACGTAGGAGTGATAACGTATTCAGCTAAAAGGTCTTCTGGGTCATGTTTAAACCTTCACACAAGAGTCCACACAAGAGAGAGAGGTTTTGTTTGTGAGCCGTGTGGGCAAAGGTTTACCTGTAAGACACGTTTAAAGAGTCACATTAGAGTCCACAAAGGACAGAAGCCTTTCGCCTGTGAACTCTGTAGACAAAGATTTAGTCATAAGGCAAGTTTAGAAAGTCACATGACAGTTCACACAGGACAGAAGCCTTTTGTCTGTGAGCTCTGTGGACTAAGATTTAGGCTAAAGACAAATTTAAGCAATCACATGCAAATCCACACAGGACAGAAGCCTTTTGCCTATGAGGTCTTTGGACAAAGCTTTAGTCATGAGACCCAGTTAAGCAATTGCACGAAAGTCCTCACAGGACCAAAACCTTTTGCTTGTGAGCTCTGTGGACAAGGATTTAGTCATAAGACAAGTTTAAACAATCACTTCACAGTCCACACAGGACTAAAACCTTTTGCCTGTGAGCTCTGTGGACAAACATTTAGACAAAAGACAAATTTAAGCAGTCACATGAGAGTCCACACAGGACAGAAGCCTTTTGCCTGTGAGGTCTGTGGTCAAAGATTTAATCAGAAGACACATTTAAACACTCACAGTAGAGTCCACACAGGACAGAAACCTTTTGCCTGTGAGCTCTGTGGACAAAGATTTAGTCATAAGACAACTTTAAACAGTCACATTAGAGTGCACACTGGAGAGAAACCTTTTGACTGTGAGCTCTGTGGACAAAAATTTAGTCAAAAGGGAAATTTAACCATTCACATGCGAGTCCACAGAGGACAGAAGCCTTTTGCCTGTGAGCTTTGTGGAAAGAGATTTAGCCAAAAGACAACTTTAAACATTCACATTAGAGTCCATACAGGACAGAAGTCTTTTCCCCAGGGGGTTATTGACACCAGTTTGTAGGAACAGCGGCTGTCAGGAACTGTTTATGGTGGTCAGGTGTTGGTGATCAGATCGTTAGACTCATATCCTTTTTAGGGACAGAGAGCAGTGTTTTAAGTGGGCTGTGTTCAGCAGCATCATTACCGTCACTTCATAAACTCCCAGTATACCGGGACTTTGTGTACTGGTAGATTTATGAAAAAATATCTGTCTCTCCTCTAAACACCCGGCGTCTGCAGTCGTTGTCCTTCCCCTAGCGTGCCCCTCCCGTTGTGCCTGTCACGCGCTCCTTGAGGCATAATTTCAGATTCAACTGATCTGTTCTGTGGGGTACCCCAAGGCTCTGTTTTGGGTCCACGGTTGTTTCTGCTGTACATACACCCTCTTGGGCAGATACTTGATTCTTTTCGTAACGTCTCCTATCACCTATATGCAGATGACATTCAGCCGTACTGCCCCTTTAAGGATTCTGAGTTCTACAAACTGTCTGAATTACTAGGGTGTCTATCAGCTACCACCAGCTGGCTAGAAGATAACTTCCTCCAGTTAAACTCAGAAAAGACTGAATGTCTGATCATGGCCCCTGAGAGCATGCTTCCCCTGATTAGTCTGAAACTTGGTCATTTATCTTCTTCCGTCAGGACAAACTTAAGGAATTTGGGTGTTTTTGACCAACCAATGTGTCTTGAAGGTCACTCAAAAACGTTGGTCTGAAACTGTTTTTATCATTTAAGAAATATCTCCAAACTGTGAAGGTTGGTGTCAAAACATGAACTAGAAAGGATTATCCATGCCTTTATCTCCTCCCGTCTAGATTACTGTAACACACTCTTCACATGTTTTAACAAAAAGCCCTTGACCGCCTTCAGTTGGTCCAGAACTCTGCAGCGAGGCTCCTAACTGGAGCAAACAGAAGAACACACATCACTCCTATTCTGATGTCTCTGCACTGGTTACCCGTTAACTTTAGAGTTCATTTAGAGTCCTGACTAGAACCTTTAGGGCTCTACATGGTCAAGCTCCTCCCTATATTACTGAACTGTTAAAGCCTTATGCTCCAACCCGAGCCCTCAGGTCCACCCACCAGAACCTTCTAGAAGTCCCAAAGACCAGATATAAAAGTCGAGGTGATCGCTCCTTCCAGAATGTTGCACCCCGACTCTGGAATGATCTCCTTTACCCTTACGCAGCGTTGACAGTCTGGAACCTTAAAACACAGCTGAAGACCCTTCTATTTAAAGCTGCTTTTAACTAAACCTTTTATTTTCTTAATTTTAACTCAAATTTTCAATCTCACCTGTTTATGAAATTTAATTATTTTATGAGTTAATTTATTTCTGATGTTAATCTATTTCTATTTAGAGAGCATTTTGATTTTATGACTTTATTCTTTATTTTGTTCAGATCTATGTGAAGCACTTTGTGGTTCTGTCTGTGATGAGTGCTGCATAAATAAAATGTTCTTACTATTTTGCATAAAAGGCGCATCGCTGCTATGAGGCGTGCTGTCCATACGGCTTCGTCATCAGCTCAGGCAGAGGAGAGAAAAATAGTATTAATTATGATTTATGAAATGTATAAACTTTTACTTCTGTCTGACGTCTGGTTCATAGCCTTTAAACCAGTCCATGATAGCAATAGTTATTACTGGTGTACAGTGAGGAACATAAGTATTTGAACACCTTGCGATTTTGCAAGTTCCGCTGATGCGGCACAGAACCAGCTCATTTAACCGCACCTAAACCTTAACGTTTCACTATTTATAACCTTCCCCTCTCCCTCATCCTAACCTTAGCCCTCTTGCTACCTAAAACGTTACTCTCACTGTGATCAAGCGTCTGTTTCCCATGCATTCTGACTGAATTTTCATATTTGCCGCCCAAGAGGAACGTTAGAACATACCATCTGGCGAGGGGGAGGTTACACATACCCTCTACTTTTAACCTCCACCGTGGTAGTTGAAACCTGCCCCTCGCATTGGCTCGGTCCAAACCCGACCAATGACGAGGCGGCTCCCGCCGTTCACTTCATAGAGCTGATCGACACATCACTGTGTTCGCTAGCAAGATGGTTAAGGTTAGGATAGGGGTGAGGTGCAATGAGCTTGTTTGGTGCCCTCGCTGCGGACATCCCATCGCGTCAGTGTAACGCTGCATTGGGATCTGCAGTCAGAAAAGGGAAAAAGCCCTTTTCGCACATAAGTAACAGAACAGGGCACTTTTGGCGTCAGGGGTCTGAGGCGGAGGGTGGCTGACCAAGCGTTTGTTTTTGACGCGCTGGGAGTGAGAATGTGTTGCAACACAATTTAACGTCAGTCGAGGAATCCGTCAGGGGTGTCCGGCTTCGCCACTACTTTTCATTATTGTAATGGAACTTTTAGCTATTTTCATGAAACACAATCCAAATATTCCAGCACTGAACTTGATGGGAGCCCCATTGATCATAAGTCAATTAGCAGATGATACTACACTATTTTTAAAGAACACGTCACAGGTTCCTCTCACACTAAATGAAATTTCATTATTTTCAAAGGCCTCTGGTTTGTACCTGAATATCAGAAAATGTGAATTATTAAATATTCATGACTGTGAACCCAGTATCTCTCTTAACATAGCTATTAAAAGTGAAATTAAATATTTGGGTATTATAATCTCAAAGAATACAAATAATAGAGAAAATCTAAATTTTGAGCATATTACCCAGAAATCTAAAAAGATCCTAATCAGCTGGTTACAAAGAGACCTCTCCATCTTTGGACGCGTCTTACTTACCAAAACAGAAGGTATCGCTCGACTGATTCATCCATCACAATGCTTATATGTTTCCAATAGACTAATCAATAATATAAATCAAAGTAACTTTAATTACATTTGGAGAAACAAGCAACATTATATTAGGAAGAATGATGTAGTGAAATCATTTGAAGAAGGAGGTTTGAATGCGATTGATTTTGAAGCAATGGATGGTTCCATCAAACTCAAATGGTTGCAGTCTTTCAAAAATAACTCAAACAGTATTTGGTTTTATTTCCCTAAAATGATTTTCGAGAAGCTTGGTGGCATTGAATTTCTCTTAAAGTGTGACTTTGAAATTTCCAAATTACCTATTAAATTATCTAATTTTCATAAACAGTACTGGAAAATGATTTACAAGCATCATTTTTCTCCACATACAAATTCAGTTTGGAACAACAGATGTATATTGCTAAAAAGAAAATCCATTTGTTATAAGGATTGGATGGATCATGGAACTTGGACCGTTTTACACTTAGACAATGATGGCAACGCATTATCGTATAATAAATTCATAGATAATTATGGCGTATCATGTACTCAAAGTAAATTCATTCAAGATGTGAAAGCCATTCCTCCTGCAATGATTCAGATGGCTAAAGCCAGTTTAACCTGTTCTTCCTCTATAATTCGTGAACTGTCCTTTATTATTGATGATCGTCAATTTAAAGGAAAGTCATGCAATAATAAATTTTTAAGGACAATTCTAACCAAACAACTTTTTCCTTCTCAATTCAAAAGAAAATATTTGTAATTCTAGGTTTTGATTAAGTATCTTTCTTTTCCAATTCCACCAAAAGCAAAAGAAAATCACTTTAAAATGTTAAATGCCAAATACCCGTCCAAGGACTATCTTCACAAGAAATTCAGTATAGATACGAACACATGCACTTTTTGCAACACTGATATTGAGACTACAGAGCACCTTTTTTATTCATGTTCCAGATGTTTTTGGGATGGTTTTCAGTACTGGTTAACCTCTAAAAATATTGACTGCCCTTCTCTAACCTTCCACGTAACAAGATTTGGCCTACAAACAGAAAATAAGAAAATAGAATTTGGGATTAAAAACTTATTTATAGTTGCAAAATGTTTCATTCATAGATGTCGCTTCTTAAGAACTACTCCGATTTTTGCTGGTTTTAAAAATGAAGTCCTTCTATTGAAGGCTTCATTAGATGAGTGTAAATGAAATAAAGCTCACATCTTACTTGAATTTTTGATGCTGCTTTTCAACTGATGTAGCTAGACTGTGTGTGCGTACTTTATTTATTTTATTTCTGATACTTTATGTGGAAGGTCATTTAATGTACTTGTATGCTGCTTTCTGTTATTTCTGATCTGTACTGTTCTTTTCTGTTCTTTGTTCGATGTTGTTCTTTGTTCTTAACCACCTGTACTTGTTCATATCTTGTTGATTTGTAAGATATGCACTGTATTTGTGAATTTGTACAATAAAAAATTTTAATTAAAGAAAAGAAAATTTTCAGTCAAAAACAGTTGGCAGCACCGCTCCTGGCCGGTAGGTGGCAGCACCGCTCCTGGTCGGTAGATGGCAACACTGCTCCTGGTCGGTAGATGGCAGTACCGCTCCTGGCCGGTAGATGGCAGCACCGCTCCTGGCCGGTAGATGGCAGCACTGCTCCTGAAACTGCCTCCAGAGAAAGAGCACAGCTCAACACGGAGCTGCCGGAGGAAGGTTCTGGTAGGTGTCTGGGTGGATTTAGGTGTGTGTTAGTGTTTCTACAGGCGGTGTGAGAGAACCAACAGCAGCTTTAAGTGTTGGACTGAGGCTGGGACTCAGGTAGGACTCCTCTAGACTCTGAACGGATGTGTACCAGGCTCAGAGCAGGGTCGCTACCGATGTGGTTTCTCACGGTAGAGTTAGCAAGACCCGCAGGCTGGACTTTGCAGCTCAGTAACGTCTGAACATAACAGCTAAGCAGGTAGAGAACAAGCTCCAACCTCCTAAAGAAAGCCGTCCTCTGCTCGCTGTAAAAACATGTTCTTCACATGCTGGTGAAGCTTATTAAAATAGTTAATTCGTTGTTAAAGCTTCAGTGAAGTCGCTCTCAGAATACAAATGTGGAAACTCCTGAGAAACCTTTAATAAAAGCTTTTATCATATTTATCTAATTGAAGTTGTTTGTAGAAAATAAAAAACCTTTTTCCAATTTCCTGGTTCTGGACATCCTTAGCTCAACCACCTCGTAACACCTCGATGGGCCAAAACACACGTGGCTCATTAATTCAATGCAGAATGCTGTGGAACTTTGCTATGATGAACTGAACACATTTTATTCAAGTAAAACTTTATTTAAAACCCAGCTGCATCATTATTGGTCCTATTGGATGGTATGTTTTTGGTTTTCTTCCTTTTTACTAATTAAATACTGTTCTCCACGTTCTATCCGTCGTACTCCATCTTGGAATGCTAGCAAACAAACAGTGGGCGGCGCTGTCTCAAAAACAGTACAAGCCTGAATCTGCAGTCGGCCTGAATCTGCGGTCGGCCTGAATCTGCGGTCTCCGGGTCTGCAGCGATACCTTCCTCTGGTGAGCCAGCGCTCAGGGACCATCTGCCAATAGATCCACCAGAAACGGCTCAGATATTAAAACACACTGACTGCAGTGGGACCAGGTTAACACGCCATACCACTGCACACATGCTGACCACATTGCATCAGTTAGTTTAATCCAGTAACACGTTCGGCGATCCTTTATCATCATTTGGGATGTTCATTAGCTTCTTCATTGTAAACTGTAGTGACACCACCTATCTGCTCTCCATAGGGTGTCATGGTGGGTGGAAGTTTCCTGACCCGCATGAGAGAATCACACACGGGAACACAGGTAAGAAATTACAAAAAGTTTATTGTTAAAGAAACTAGAAGGGAAACTAAGGGCGCTGTTCCATAAGCGAGACAGGATGTTGTTTTGGTAGCCCTCCGGTTTATAATAGCAGCAACATTAATGAGACTGGGCCAGCTCTGTCTTAATGTAGCGACTCCCTTTATTGCCAAACTGCAACAACCCAACACACACACGGCACAACCACCAGGGGGTGCTGCATGAACGATTGAATTAGTCCTTACCATAACATCCCCCCTTCTGAGTACATTATAACCCATGATGTTTCCGCATTATCCACTTTAATGTCAATACTAAAATTACTGCAACTTAACTTGTAGCTAGGTACTCCAAAGCTGTTATCTTAACTCAAATCTGTAACAAACATTTGTTGCGTTTACTTTTAACTATTATTTTATTTAACTGTGTGAACTTATTCTAACTATGAAGGGGGGGTAGACAACCCCGTCCTTCAACTGAGTGAGGGGATTATTCTGCCCCGGGCTGGTCACTCAGGTGCTCGAGGGTACCTTCTACCTAAATCAAAGTCCTTAAGGTACCTCGGCGGGTCTCTTTCTCTTGTAGGATAACTTCTTTCAGTAGTCTGGTCACATGGTGGTATAAGAGACTGCTGAACCTGGTTTGAAACAGGGCTGCTGCTGTTCTCTGGCAGGACAGGGACTTGTTGTTCAGTTGGTTCAGTCTTGGTCCCTTTTAGGGTGATGAGATGGCTCCTGTTTCGACGAAGACGCCCCTTTGGGGTCTCAACAAGGTAAGACCGTGGCGTATCTGCTCTGCCTGATATAGTCCCATTTGTTTTCATGTCTGTGATCCAAACTTGATCTCCTGGGTGTAGTCCAGTGAGGTCTTGTGCTCTGTGTCTGTTGTTGAACCATATCCACTGTTTTTATCTCTCCTTCCCTTCTCTCTCTCTCAGTTTAGCGATATCTGTCCAGCCTGGGTTGAGGCAGGATGGAAGTATGGGAACTGTGGTACGAAGTTTCCTCCCCATCAGAAGCTCTGCAGGGCTATGCCCATTGGCAAGTGGTGTGGCGCGATATGCCATAAGAGCGAGATATGGGTGTCTTCTTTCTGTAGAAGGCTCTTTACAGTTCTCACAGCTCGTTCAGCCTCACCATTACTCTGAGGGAATCTCGGGCTGGAAGTGGTGTGGGCAAAGCCCCACTCTGAAGCAAACTTTTGAAAGTGTTCTGAGGAGAATTGTCGGCCATTATTCGACCTTAACTCTGTTGGTATGCCGTGGCGTGCGAATATGGACTTTAAATGGTCAATCACTGCAGCTGATGTGGTAGAGGACAGCTTAGCTATTTCTTTGTACCGTGAGAAATAGTCCACTACAACCAAATACTGGCTGTTACTCCACTCAAAAAGATCAGCACCAACTAACTCCCACAGCCGTGTAGGAAACTCAGTTGGCATAAGTGTTTCTCTGGGTTGCTGTCTTACCTTCGCACACGTCTCACAATCTGCTACCAGCTGTTGTAGTTGAGAGCTCAGTCCTGGCCACCATACCGACTGCTTGGCTCGCTCCCTGGACTTTACAATGTCCTGGTGACCTGTGTGCAGTCGTGTCAAAACATCTTTCTGTAATCTCTTTGGAATAACTATACGCATTCCTTTTAGGAGGAGATCATTTTCGACAGTCAGGTCTCCTGCATGCTGGTGATATGGGAAACACGGGCCTGGTATTTTGAGTTTGTCTGGCCAGCCGTTCTTGCAGTAGAGTTTGATTTGTTTTAGTGTTTCGTCTTTGTCTTGCTGCTCTCTTATTTCCTGTAGTCTCTTCTCAGTTGCAGGAGGCCTGAAATCACCTGGTGTGCATACAGGTCTATTTCGGCCCCTAATGTCTCGTCACAAACCATCCTTTCTGGTGCTCTGGACAGCACATCTGCAGTTGCTATGTGTTTGCCCGGGACATGTGAGATGGTGAAAGAGTATCTCATTAATCTCATTCTCAGTCTTTGAACTCGTGGTGGCAGTTCGTCTAAGTTCTTGGAGCCCAAAAGTGGTACTAAAGGCTTGTGATCTGTCTCAACATGGAACTCAATGCCTAAAGGAGATCAGAGAATTGCTCGCATGCCCAGGTTATGGCTAACGCTTCCTTCTCTATTTGAGCATACCTTTGTTCTGTGGGGGTTAATGCTCTTGAAGCGAAGGCCACTGGCTTGGTAGCATCATCCTCTTGTTTCTGAAGTAGCACCGCTCCTAGTCCATAGGAGGACGCATCAGCTGATACTGTTGTTTGTGCCTTGGGGTTGTAGAGTGCCAAGTTTGGTGGTTTACTCAGTTCTGCCTTAATGTTGTCGAACGCTGTTTGTTGAGCCTCACTCCAACACCACATGTTTTTGGTACTGAGCAGTTCTCTCAATGGCTGTGTTTTCTCTGCTAAGTGGGGAAGGTACTTGCCTAGATGATTAACCATTCCTAGGAATCGTCTCACTCCACCCACATCGGTGGGTGCCTCCATGTTGCTGACCGCTTTCACTTTTTCTGGGTCTGCTTTGACTCCTGTAGTGTCAAGGATCTGTCCTAGGAACTTGATTGAGGTCTTTGCAAACTCACATTTCT